CCACGTGCCAGAGACCCCCCAGCCTCTACCTCCTTGGGCCAAGGAGGTGATGGCAGCGGTCCCCTCAATTTTTGATAGAAAAACCTGATTTTTCAAAGAGCATTTCCACATTTCCAGGCAGGTGCAAAACAGTTCAGTGGGTTTTTAGTCAGTGGAAACATCTTTTAACATCTGCCAGGGACAAGAAAGGAACCACCTTCCCTCCTGCCCACATAGTTCAACCTGAAACTGCATCACCGTGGACAGTGACGGTGGCAGGGGGGTGCAAAGGGGGGTGCATCACCCACCGGCTCCCCACCTTCGGATTTTCATGCGTGGGCCAGCGGGAGGGAATGATGTGCCGGCTTTTGCCAGGCGTTGCAGGAATAAGCCCACAGCACACAAATACACCGCGCAAGGGTTTCCAGGGTGCTTCAAAGAGATGATTCAACTTGTCCACAGAAGGTCATTTCCTGCCTCCCTTCCCTCCTTGCTGCTGGCGGTAACAGAAACAGTCCCTGCGCCCTCGGCGCAGCGTGCCAGCCTGCAGGGATGGGGCAGGGGACGCGTGGCACGGTGGCAAAGGCCATGGGCAGGGGGCTGGGACCTGCTGCCTGTTGCACACTCCTGAAAAGCTTTTCTGTGCTGCTTGGAGAGAGGCTGTGTTCCCTCCACCGTGGGGACAGGGTGCTGCTTGTCCCAGGGCAGCTGGCCACAAGTGAAGAAGCCCCTCACAAGCTGCCACAGACACCAGACGCGTCCCCAGAGCTGCCTCTGCTCCCGTGCCCTGCTGAAATAACTTGGCTCTGCCAAACCTGCCATTTGGCCTGGACTTATTTTTCCATAGTGTCTTATGAGGACTAAAAAATCTGGAGCTGTAACAGTCTTGGCGTGGACTCAGCTTCCGGAGCTGGTTTTGCTGTCGGACCGCAGCTGGGCTCGCTGGCATTTTCCAGGGAAGTCCCCCAGCAGCTGACGGAGCAGCTGGCTCTGCTCTGGGGGGCTGCAGCTAAACCAGCCCTACGCGCACCGGGGCTGAATTTTACCCATTTAGAAGGTGGATGCTAAGAAATTAAAGGGTTAAATGTTTCTTCTGCCCTTTGGTAGAAGAAACTAAGGCATTTCTCTTGGGTCAGCTCAATGCCCCTCTTGGTCCCACTGACAAGCCAGGAGTTAATTCCCATTTCCCCCCTTGCCTGCTTCTCCACAGCCCAGATCTCAGGGACTACAAGCAAACAGTTACTGCAAATAATGTAAGTGGCAGACAAATGACCTGGAATCGTCACGGGCAGGTTAAACTCAGCACAGGGCCGTGCGCCTGCAGAGCAAACACAAGCCCTGCGACACGAGCCAGCGGCCGGGGTCTAACTCCGAGGGATCGGATGGATGTTACAGTCACACCCAGCGCCGGACTCCAGTTTCAAGGAAACCCTTTGCACGATATTGCATCTGTCCCTTGTCTAGGTTAAACTGTAAGCTTTTTATGGCTAGGAAGGGCTATTTTTGGACTCTGCACTGATGCTGGCTATCAGCAGGCTGTGCTGAATTTAGCTTGCTTCCCCTCCGCTGCCTACTTTGCTCCTCTCTGCTCTGCCTCTCTTACCTCTTGCTTTCCTCAGTATTTTCCTCTCCTCCTAACCCACCTTTGCAGCGAGCGCAAAGGGCCTCTAGGTCAGAGAAAGTCCTGTTCGTCTCTGCATGGCATCCGTGGCACTTTTGGGCATAAGGCGGCTTAGCCCCCTGCTTAGACATCCTTGCCCCTCAGGGTAGCCAGCACAGCACACCTGGGCTGCTGTAAGGAAGGAGGTTCAAAGGTTAAACACAGCAATGGATTTCCCTGCTTAACTAAGCCTGAATCATTGCCTGATCCCACCCTGCTTTCCTTTAGAGACCTCCCTGTTCCTCGGAGGCAAGCAGGAGCAGTTGCTCAGCCTGCCGTGCTATCCCCCGGGACACCCAGGGCAGAGAGCCCGGCACCTCGGCCACCTCTGTGGCCGCAGCAGGCAGCCCCCGAGGGCAGGGACTGGGACGCTGGGGTCCCCGGGGGCAGGAGCCCCAGCAGACTCACGTCCCGGGGTGCTGCTGCCCGGCTGTGGCCCCGTGCCAGCCCGTTGCCAGCGGCAGTTGGGACCAACAGCTGCGGGTTCTGGTTGGAGATGGCTCTCTGGTCCCACAGCCCGGCCGGGGACAGGCTCTCCTGCCTGCTTGGTGTCACACCAGAGGATCTAATGCTCTCTTTTGGCCCCCAAACTTCTGGAATCATAAAGCCATGAAGCCAAGCTAAACCTTGCTGTGTTTCTGGGGTGAAATTTCAAAGTTCTGCCAAGGAACGGAGATGCGACCCCTTCTTCTGCTCATGCATTGCATCCCTTCATTGCCAACCTGCAGGGACCAGGGCATGAAGTTTGTACAGTCGTCTTCG